TTGCATGGACTAACTGCTGCTTTATAACAAAGAAGCACAGCCATTTTGCTACACAAACAAAGGTTTCTACTAAGCTCGGGATGGGTCCAGATCTTGGTTAGACCACCTGTGTGACCTGCCTACGGCCCTACGCCCATCATGGTGATGATGATGACAAAAACAATAATTAGAATAAGAAAAACAGAAACACCAATAGCAAATAGCAATAAGAATAAAAATAGCAGCAACAAGAATAAAAAGCTGAAAACAACAATAAGAACGAGTAAATTCCGCGCACCTCATCAAAAACAAGATTTATAAATCTCAAGGAGAGAAGTAGTGTAAGGATGACTTCTGCCACAGGTAGACCAAGTTTATCGAATGGGCGTAAAAACCACTGCAGTGCAAATGCTATCTGCTCTGGAGTTGTAGTTGATAGGTAAAGGCTTGCACTTTGAAAGATCTGGTAATCAAAGGACCCCACTCTCATAACAATATACGAGTAATAGCACTTCCCTATGATCATAATGCCATATCTAATATCCATGAGGTTAAGAACAAAATGGCTTAAAAACATCAGAAGTGGAAGAGTGATTGCATCACCCTCGCTGGTTTTAGGCTCAACCTTTAGTTTGTTTTAGACAGAAATAGCTCATCAATGTGGAAAAAATGGGCAAATTCTATGCATAGACATAAAGCAAAATACACAATACATTTCTGCAAACAGGAACATTTTTGTTTTGTTTTACTAATGACTCATTCATTCCTAGAAGAAGAATTATCAGCTATTTTTTTCTTTGTTTACGACTTTACGTATAAATCAGTCATATCCTTAGGAAGAAAAGATACTCCAATTTGTGCACATGACGCACGTTCTGCTCATATTTATTGAAATTTCCTAGAAAAAATTAGTACAATTGAAATTAACTACACCAGTAAATGCAAAGGAGGCATGATAATCACATTTGAATATTTGATTCATTAATGAACATGCTTCATTTTTAAAATCTACCCAAGACTGGCAGGGCTGCATCACGACCATTTAACTGATATATAAGCTTACTATTAGGTTAAAGAGAGGGTCAAAATCCAATTCCACTTACTGTGAAGGTTAAACATGCTGATGTGGTTGCTGTTAATAACCCCTTTCTGGTAATTTGCAGTGGTCCCATTTTAAAAACTACATACGAATAACCTTCGAAAGATGCTGGAAATTTTGGTAGCCCTGTAACTGAAGGTGGAGGAGTTCTTGAATATACAAGGGAAGGCGCAGAGTCTGTACTCAGGGCTAACACTATAAACAAAACCCCACACAGTATTGAAACTCTTCCGAGTTGGTCCTATCAAAACATAATACATTACAATGATCAGAAGATCTTTCCACCATAAAAAGAAATGATAAATTAGGAACACATAAGCAACCAGTAATTGTTGAAAATCCATTCAGTCCTTCGGAGGTGTTTATGTAGTAGTCATATTACATACAGCCTTCAGATGTCAACATACCTGCCATACTTCATTAGGTTGAATCTGTATAGTTAATATAGCCAAGATGACAATGAGACCAACACGCAGAACAGTATTCGACCTTGCTGGTAAAATAACTAGAGTAAGTAGCCATGCCTGCATAGCATGCACTAATCAGAACAATGAAGTAACTTAGTCCTGCCCTTTTCCCAATCAGAAGTAGTTATATTTTGTGATGGATTCCATTAAATGAACTTAATTTTCAGTAAAACATTTCTCATTCATTTTTTCGACAATGTCCAGAGTCCAGACTTTGCAGTAAGAAAACATACAACGGAACAACCAACATTACCCCAGTGCCACAAAGGCTCCCACCTATGGTGGGGTAAGGGGGGTCGCATGTTCACAACCTTACCCCTGTACCAAAGCACAGGGAGACTGTTTCCAGATGACCCGTGATGAAAATCGTGTCAGAAATTGCATGGACTAACTTCTGCTTCATAACAAAGAAGCACACACAATTTAGTGAGTCATTGTGCTTTATTCCATCATATTTCCAAGCCAAAAAGTAATGAGTCTTTGACTCCATTGGAAATGATGGAAAAATATAATGAAGTCTAAATATTTATGAACTAGCCCGTCTCACATATGGCTATAACACTGAGTCACTGACCCTCCTAGTTTTTATTACGGGAAGTGACCCACCTACTTTAGAAGTCCTCAAATTTCGAAAATATACTCTACATTCTACAATATTTAAAAATTTTCTTTTTCTGCAATTAAATCTACTTCGGAGTTTTATTTTGAAAAAATAAAAACACCATATAATAATATTTGAAAGATACTTCTAGAATTCTAGATAAAATTGCACATATTCTTCTACTATAAAAGCTCTAATTTTTATAATTAGCACAAGGTCGGTTAAAATTTTAAGATAACCTTGATTAAGAAGTAAATAAGAAATCCTTGTGCATATTAACACTATATACATTATAGTAAAGAAAGACACTTGTTTTCCTTTACATATAGGCATAAAGCTAAAAGTGAACACCCAGATTAACCCCCATCGGCAGGAACACGATCCATAGTACAGTTCAAACCAGATAATATAATATAATTATCATAAAGAGATAACTCTGAAATGGTTAGAAATACGTACCAATTTGATTCTGGGGTCAGTAGAGTGCAAGAAAGTGGTAGGGGAAGAGATGTACTGAGCAATGGGGCTAGAGGTTGCTCCAGATATGACTCTAAACACTTTCTCAGCTCCAAGAATGTTTTTGGGTGACCACTTTTCCAGCAATTCTTTCCAGTTTTCCTGCGAACCTTCAATGTTACTACTTTTATCTGCGCATAGAAAAGTGGGTCGGTGGGGGGGTTGTCTTTTCAGAGAGTTTGGGGCGAGTCGGTGCTTGTAGATGGAGGGAGTCAAATATCTGATGCTTGTTATAGTTGGGGTGCTATGGAGGAGTTGAGGAAACATTGACAATGGCTGACAGAGAAACAAGGATTGTAAGCATAGGGATTTGGGTTCGATCCGAATTATCACCCGAACTTCAAAACGCTCCCTAGTCCCTCCCATCCCATATTTCAATGTATCTTTTATCAAGTAAAAAATACACCAACATACATTAAAATTTTAAAATTATAAAAGTTCTCTAACATGTCAAATATAGATAGAGAACTTCGAAAAATTGATTTTATGAATGTTTAGCTTTTAATTTAAACTAATAAAAATTTGAGAAAAGTCTAAAACTGCTACTCAGTATATGTTTGACAAAATTAAACATCTCTGATATTTCAATTGAACATACTCTGTATATTCAAATTATGTTATCGGACGATCAGAGTTGAGAGATAAAAAGGGTAATCAAGAAGCAGACTTTTTAGCTAGCCTAGGTCATAGATTACCTATTGACATTTATTCTATTTCTAATGTTGATTCTAGATTATCGTTACACATTTTGTATGACTATCTTGGATTTCCCAGCCTCGTTTGATCATTAATAATATAGGTAGGAGCTAATGCTCCTACGTTTCTACCAAAAAATACTCTAAAATTAAGAATCATGAAACATTTGATAAAATTAGTAATTAAATAAGTTAATGCAGTATAATGACAACTGTTAGGTTTTGTATTTAAAGACTTTGATAATATTAAATTATTTCTATTTATTAAAAATGCGAGTTTATTACATCAATGTCGTTTCACGTGTAAATTTACAAGATTTGCAAGATTTGTACTTGGTATTTATATCGTTGTTTCTATTAGATTAGGTTCAACATGTCTGATGTGTATAATTGGCGAAAGAATTATAAGGTCTCTCTAAGAAATTGGATTACTTTCTTAACTTTGACACAAATTGATATACTCTTTGCTCCATTTGATGCCTTAGGGGCGGGTGTGTTCATATGTCTCATAAATAGGAAACGGTTTAGAACTCGGTGGCAAACCTGACAACACTCAAGTGTTTGTTCTCCATAATTGATGACATTTCATCATCAATTGCCTCCTTCCAAAAGGCAACATCTCGGGATTCCATTGCCTCTTTAAAGGTTTTTGGATCATCCTCAACTTGGTAACAATATGAATATCGTACCCCTACTTCGTCCATTGAACCCTCCACTAAATACAAGTGAAAATCGGGACCAAGGTCTTTCACGATGCGGCCTCTTTTGATTTTCCTAATTTGTGGTGTTTCGGGATCCGATACACCATCCAAACTTTCCGGAAGTTGCACTTTACTAGTGCTTGGAAGTAAATCCTTTGACCTTTGAATTGATGAAAATCTCATTTCATCAAAAATTGCATTTCGAGACTCAATCACGGTGTTTACCGCGCGCTACCGCATCGTTAGGTTCTAAATATAAAGTAAAAATGTAAAAAGGATGAAAAACCAAGCATTCGAGCCTAACTGGTTGTGAGGTTGTCGTGCCTAGTGGGAGGTCTCGGGTTTGAAACCCGCTAGGCACACAAAGGTTTGAAACTCAATTGAGTGAGTTTCAGTCTTCATTACTCCAGGGACCCCCTCTGGAGTAAAAAAAATGTAATAGGATGAAAAAACAAGCGCAATATTCAAATACTTACAAAAAAGAAAGAAAAATATTGGCATTCTTAAATTTTTACAATTGTGTTCTTTTTTCGGAACTTAAACATGTTTTTAGATTTTTAACAAAGATATCTGTCATAACAAGTTACAAATCGGTTAAATGGCTGGATTGATCGATTTATAATTGTAAGTGACCTATATGTTACTTTTATTTAATGTAGGGGTTTAAGTGGTGGATCAAAAATATCAAAAATATTAAAAATATCAATTTAAACCTTTTTTCTTAGTATATCCATTTTTACACACAAGAATTATACTTCATCCATCTCAAATTGATTTGTAAAATCAACATTTTTTTTATCAACCAATGTTAAAGTTAAATCTTCCCTATTGATAATTAATTGAATTTTAATAATTAAAATTTAAATATTTAGAAAACTACATTAAAATCTCTATAAATTTGCAAAACTCAAATTAGAATATACTTCAGTAGTTGATATGGGGTTTTACGTGAATACTAGTATTCCACCCGTGCGTTGCACGGGGTGTAAGATACAAATATTATAAATATAAAAAAATCATTTTACCTCTAAATCATATTAAAGATTATATTATAATTCATCTCGGGAATGAGAGTAACCACTACTAAATACATAATAAAAAAAATATTTGGAGTTTAATAAGCATACAATTTTGCAAATTATTGAACCCTTCTTTGTAGACAACATTTTTTGCGGTCTTTTTTCGATTTCTCTCATCGTCGCATATCACGAACTTCAATCCAGACAAACTCATCACCTTCAAAACTGCAACATATAACTACCCATGTGTAAAAACTGGACGTCGTAGAAAAACGCCCACATTCTCTAACGATTGTCCTTGGCTCTTGTTCATCGTCATTACATAGCTAACCCCTAACCATCAAGGAAATTGCCTATAGGAGTGGACTCGGGCCAGGCCAACTGGCCCGGAACCGGACCGGCCCACTACTGTGCGGGCCCGGTGAACCGGTTGGTGCCCGGTTCGGGCCACCCGGCCCGGTGAGGTAGGCGGGCCGGTCCCGGGCCTCCTAATTCGTGAACCGGCCCGGCCGGTTCGGGCCCGGTCCGGGCCAAATTTTTTTTTTGTTTTTTTTTAATTTTTTTAAGTTTTTGGGTTGGGCTGGGTATGATGGGCCATTTGAGGTGGTTTGGGGTGGTTTGGGGTGAGAGGGGAGGGTTGGGAGTTAATTAGGAAAAGCCAAAAAAAACTATAGAATTGAGGCCCGACTCGGCCTGGACCGGACCCGGGGTTACCCGGGCCGGTTCCGGGCCTCCCCTTTCATGAACCGAGGCGCGGCCGGGCCCAGGCCCGAACGGGAACCGGTCCACCCCTACGCATGAATGTGAAAGGTAGCGTCACATCTGTCGAGGTTAGACTAATCCTTGGGATAAGGAATTTCTCACCTGCATTAGTTCCATACATCATCTGTGCCTCAATAATATGTTCACCAAGTTTTGTCACTAAAAGTCGGGTACCATTACACAAGCCGGCCGAATGATCTATATTCCTCATGAGCATCACCGGTACACCAACTTTTAGCTTCAACTCGTGACTTGGAACACCAGAACATTTTATGCCGTTAAGGAATTCGGGAGAATGAATTTCCTGAAGGAGCTCATTGTATGAGGTTGAGGAACACGCTGAATCTGAACTGAAATATGTCTTTTCCTCTGAGCTGTTCTGCAGCAACATGAAAGTAATTCAAATGTTACACTTTTTACAACACAAATTTTACAGCATACATAAATGATGGAATAATTGAAGTGAAAGGCAAGCAAACAGGTTACAAAATACTTGATATGCATCGAGAAAGAAAAAATTGCAGTGCATTTCAAACTCAAGAGTTCACTGTGCCATTAGTATGTTTTAAAATCATCATGGCCCAATAAGAGAAGAAAAAACGTAATAACAAAAGTTTTAGTTTGGAACCAATGGAAAGTTCAAAACTGAATAAATGTTAATATATTCCTTCGGCAAAACTGAATAAATGTTAAAGTAATGGTATATTTTGTCACTTATTCCAAATTGATGTTAGAATGCCACTAAGTGTACACATAAAAGTGAATAAAAGTTATTGTGAATACATACATACGGGCACGTTAACTATTATAATAATTATTATTAACAACTAAACAAATGTATCATATGATGTAAGTTCACGAAGGATTTTATCAGAATGAAGGTCATTGATTTAATGGTGAAAGATGATTGAACTATAAAAGTATTTAATGGTGAAAGATGATTGAACTATAAAAGGTTAAATGACATACCTGTTGAAACCTCTGCCTTCAAACACTAAGATGCTCGAGTCCTTTCTAAGTTTATGGTATGTGCGTGTATATATAATAGAAGGTCGTTTGGTGCTGGTGTGTAACTATATCTGGACCCTTAAATATGAATCTCAATGATTCATTCTGTAATTTAGAAGATGCACATTTCCTTATATAGTTAGGGTTATTAATGATACATGTAATTAAGTGCACGATTTTATATATGTATGTATATAATAATATTATAAGATTCTTACCATTCATGCAGCTGGAACTCTTAATAAATATCGAAACGAAATAAGGCTTTATTAACTAAACAGATTTATTATATGATATGAGTCTAAAATAGAAGGTAGATTCTTACCATTCATATAGTTGGGACTCTTAATAAATATAAAAATGAAATAAGGCTTTTATTAACTAAACAGATTTATTATATGAGTCTAAAAATAGAAGGTAGATTTATCCCATGTATATATAGGATTGCACGTTCCCTTACAAAAGTGTTTCCTTCTAGGTTCTGAGTCCCGGATTATTATATGGTGAATATACTTGCTATTCTTAAGTTTTTATTTTATTTAAATAAACGTTTTGTATAAGGTAGAGCATACTTACCATTTTTAAAGTATTTATTTAACAAAAAAATGTTTCTTTTATTGTACAATATACTTACCATTTTAACACTCTTAAACTTGACAAAATAAAAGAGGTGAAGCATGTAAATATGATACTTTGAAACAGAATTTCAAAATTATATGATAAAAATGTTCTAGGTAAAAAATGTTGTATGTAAAAATGTTGTAGATAAGAAGATGGATTTTTTATACTATGATGATAATTTGAAGCACAATAGATAGTAAAAAACAATATGTGAATTGGTGATAAAACTTTAATATGATGCAAAGGAGAACACAGAGAAAAGGAGATGATACCGAAAAATAAAAATAAAAAAGTGATAAGAATGTTGATAAAACTTTAATATGATGTAAGGCAGAAAACAAAAGAAATGGTGAACTACTCAAAATGACTAATGAAGGTAAATTCAATACTAAAAACACATGTGGGAATTTCTGTAAAAAGAAGTAAAAGATGCAATTTTGTTTTACATTTTTTACTCAACGTAAGGCATTTAAGGTTACGGGGCGGTAGACGGTAATTCCTACCACCAGCATTGTATATCTGAATGTCGAGTTTTTGAGCAACTTTCTTCATTACAAAAGGAACGACTTATCAAATTCACATATATATACCTGCAGCCAGAAAAAAGAAGTATAAAAATGCATATTTGAATATTCACCATAGTTTCAATACCAGGCATATTTGAATATTCACCATAGTTTCATGATCAACTTTTGGAAGAAAAGCATTATGACAAATTCAGTCATAACTTACATTTTCAATAAAGTTCAAAACTGCCAATCTATTGCAAGCAGTAAACTTATTTCTTGAAACAAAAAGTGTAATGAGATTTGTAACCTGTATTCTCCTTATTGATATACCCATAATCAAAATAGACATGTTCACGGGATGTAAAATGACATAATAGGAGAAGAATAATAGAGGAAATTGTTACCGTTTAAGCTCCGTGTGAAAAGATCCGTGTGAGTGTTGCCGCTGGAGAGTTAGACATATTAAAAGATTTAGTTTACCTACATTACGTTCATATTCATTCTGAAATCAGTATGCCTAATGAAACACCATCCTGGAATACTCTTAAATCGTGTATTCACAACAATTCATTCTACAAACAGATTAGTTAAGAAATTTATTGTGAATAAACAATCATATGTAGTTTCAAGAGAAGGTCTTAAAAGACAAAAATCTTACTACACATACATTTCTCTCTCCTTTTATATTATTTTTTATACTGCTAAAGTGCTATGTCTTAGATGCTTAAATTACGCTAATAAAAAATACCAACTCAATTGAGTGTAATCTAGAATGCCTTTTCAGAAATACTAAAGATGTGGTAGAATTGAAAATGAAGATTTTCAGTTCCAGGATGACATAGTACCTGGGATTTTGTCGACGCGATCGATGACATATACTGTAGAAACTCCGCCATCAATGGATTTTTCTAAACTGAAAAATGTAGGAGCAATAATCTCATTCAGACAATTAAACAAACAGTTTGTGTGCTTCTCTATATACCTACCAATAAAATACGGAGTACTAAATAAAAATTTATTTTATGAGATTCTTACCATTGTTAGGACTCTTAACTACCACTCTCTAGCAGAAGTATAAAATTGAATCAATGATGCTCTGGTTTTATTAGTGAGCTTCTCCTACGATGGCAAATAAGTTGCACATGAATCTTGACCACTTGTGAAAGATAATTGGAAATAAAATCTGAAAATGAAGATTGTAAGGATACAATATACCTCATAAAGATGAAAAATCTAGATGGAGTGCCATATCCATATCTTCGTGGGTAATGGAATTGACGAAAGGAGCTATAGATGAATGATACTGGTTGATCAAAAGATTATGTGTGAAAGAGGAGAAGAAACGGCAGGGATGTATCGGTGAGTACAGATAAGCTACTTGCATACGGTGTTGCTGCTGGACGCCTTCGGCAAAATCATGTGGCTTGATACACGACGGGCGGCGAAATTGGATGGTGGAGAGAAATTGAGAAGATAGAGACGTAGGGAGGAAGTGAAAGAAAAGAAATGGAAGGTGATGGAGTACCAAGAAGGCCCAACAGGCCCAGATCACGACGCCCAGAGTACCAAGCAGCCCGCGATACGCACCAGGGGTGCCTTCGCCCCCCTGGCCGAAGGCTCCAAACTATCACAACATGGATATTTCGAACAAACGGAGGAACTGGGAGAAAACGGCGAAAACAGTAGCCCTCGGCACCTGGAGCCCTCGGCACTCAGGGGTCCTCGGCACTAAGGGCCCTCGGCTAGTCCTCTGCAGCCGAGGGCACCTCTCCCGACATAATATCCGCCCCACATGCGTACAGATCATCGTACCCTGTACAGACGTCCCATCCAACAGCCGCATTAAATGCGACCACATGCGGCTGCCAACGCCAACCAGTTGAGGTGACCCCTCGGCCAATAGGCCCTTGACACGTGTCCCTGTCCGGCATTTATTGCTGCTATAAATAGCACCCCATTTCCCCATTTGTAACCACGCTGAAAACGCTCCACATTTATAATACACCCTCTCTCTCTACATTTACTTGCTCTGACTTCTCTCTAAGTTATTCCCAGCAATAACCATTCGGATATATACCCCCGGGTAGACTATCCATCATTTGGTGCTCTCGTTGAGAGGTCGAACAATCGAGTAAGAAACCCTCCCCCTTCGCCAAACACTAGCCCTCTACCAAAATGGTGAGAACTACTCGTGCCAACTCCAAAAACGTAGAAGACAAGAACCTGGCCCTCGGCGACGTCAACGCCCCCGAAGCCTCTCACAGGGCTCCCGAGGGCGGTGTCATCGCTGGGCTGGAACAGGTGGCTGTCGACCTACGCCTTCAGATCCAACAGAATGCCCCCGATGCCCGCCTCGGCATCGAGGCCAAGAAGAAAAACCGGAGCGATGACCAAGTCAGCCCTCCGGTTCTCACCATCGACGTGCAATCGGCGCTCTCCGCCTTCATCCAAACGCTCACTCAGAACCCGGGTGCCTTCGGCACCCTGGCTCCGGCTCAACCCCAGGTTGGGGAGAACATCATACTTCCCCCTCTGCCACACCCCTTCGGAAACCCCCTCCCTCGGGTTAGAAATGACGAAGGGGTAGTGGCCCAAGATACGTCCTCCCAGGAAGTTCAGTCCCGGGACCGCCACCATGACAACAGAGAAAGGCCCCGCACTTCCGCCCTCAACCGGCTCGGAGGAGGGCCAGACCGCCGAGGGGTCCAAGACCGCCTCGGAGGGAAAGCACTCCAAAGGCCCCAGGAAAGCGGAGGGTCTGTCTCGAGGGCAGACGAGGAGCGTCCCCCTCGGGACAAAGGCAAGGCACCCCTTCATGCCAATGATGCTCGCCACCAGATCAACCAGGCCCACTCGGCCCGGGTTCGTTCGCAGGGGGCGGAGACCCTCCCGAAGGATCCCCGGGACGAGATTATTGCGGCCCTCCAACGCCGGCTTGACGAAATGGAGTCCAACAAAGCTCACGCCACCACCTCCACCCCTCACTCAGACCTCAAATACGAGGCCATGATGGCCAAAATGGAGGAATTACAGAAGAAGGTGGCCGAGGGCTCCGGGGAACCCGTCATCCAGCTCCGGACTTGGACGCCATTTACCCCAAGGGTATTGGCGGCCCGGATCCCGGAAAAATACCGAGGGCAACACATACAGCCCTACAACGGGAAAACGGACTCCCAGGAACACTACAGCAAATACCAGAACAGCATGATGATGGTAGGGGCGTCAGACGAATATTTGTGTCGTTGGTTCCTCTCCACCTTAGAGGGGCCGGCATACGAATGGTTCAACAGGCTGCCCGAGGGCTGCATTGATTCATGGCAAGAACTCGCCCAACGATTCTTGACACAATTTGCCGGGAGGCGTCGCACAAGGAAGCACTTCTCCCACCTCCTAACAATACGCCAAAAGAGGGATGAGACCCTTCGGGACTTCCTGGAGCGCTGGAGGACGGAAGCCGACAAAGTCGACGGTGCTGATGACGGGACCCTCTTGGCCCTCCTACAAACCGTCCTCCGCACCGGCAACTTTTCAAGGAGCCTCATCATTGAACCCCCCCCCCCCCCCCCCCGCGACTACATAAGGGCTTTGCAGTGGGGGGACCGATATGCTGAGGCCGAGGAGGTGGAAAAATATCACCAGCATCCGGATCAGCAGCCCCCGAGGGCTGACAACAAAAACAACTGAGGGCCGGGGGCTCCTCCAAATCACCCCAAACCTTCAGGACCCTCTGATGACCGCCCTCGGCAAGGCCAAGCCGAGCCAAGCCCGGGGGAGGTTATAAGAGCAACCCTAAGACTTGGGCACAGCCCATTCTCCTGGACCGCCCTCGGACACCATTGACGCACCCCGTCAGCATCATCCTTGATTTTGCCGAGGAGAGGGGCCTCGTTGAGCGCGACTCTCGCGCACCCTCGGAGGTACATGCTATCAACCCTCAGTTCCCATATTGTCGCTTCCATCGGCACCAGGGGCACAGGACCGATGACTGCCATCAGCTAAAGACGGCCATCGAGAGGTTAATACAAGCAGGGCACCTGTCCCAATTTGTTCAGAGCCCTCGACAGGAGGGACCTTCTCATCAGGGGCCTCCCCGAGGGCACCACACGAAGGTGAACGCTTGGGTAAACCCGAATACCATCCCCCTCGGCAAGAAGAGGGGGATTGGAAACTTGGAAGAAGAGGAGGAGGAATACCCCCACTACCAGGAGAAAAAACGCCACATCCTCATGATCACCGGTGGCAATACAGGGGCGATTCCACCAGCCAGCGAAAGAAGTGGGCTCAATCGCTTTACGTGGGGGAAGTCACTCATATGCCCCCGGTAAAGCGACTGAGGGAGGAACCCATCACCTTCACCAACGCAGATCTCCCTCCTACTTCTTCTCCTCACAGGGATGCCTTGGTGATTCGGACTGAAATAAACGACACCATCATTCACCGAACTTACATTGACACGGGCAGCTCCGTCAATGTAATGTACCTCAGCACCTTCAGAGAGTTGCATCTGGAGAGGGGGTCCCTTCGGCCCATTAAGACCCCTCTGGCCGGCTTCACCGGCGACACTATTGATTCCGAGGGGGTAATAACCCTCCCGGTGATCTTCGGCGACGGGCTCCATAGAGCCCAGCTCGAAGTGGAGTTCGTCATCGTTAACATCGACTGCGCCCACAACATTATCCTCGGCCGGCCAGCCCTGGAGGACCTCGAGGGCATCATCTCCATGAGGCACCTCTACCTCAAGTTCCCCGCCGAGGGGGGCATTGGCTACTCCCGGGGGAATCAGAAAATCGCCCGCGCCTGCTATCTTCAAGTCACTAAGAAGGTAAGTAAGACGGAATTCCGTGTTGACACCATCACCGGACCCATCGACAAAGAAGAAAAAAGGCCGAGGGCTGAACCAGCCGAGGACGTAGAAGACTTTGCGCTCGATCCGGCCCAGCCGGAGAGAGTCGTGAAGATTAGAGCCCAGCTCCCTGAAGATCTCAAGACCGGTATCACCGACGCCCTCCGCGCCTACTCCACTGTCTTTGCATGGGGGCCGGAGGACATGCCGGGAATCAGCCGAAGGGTCATCACCCACCGCCTCTCGGTGGACCCCTCGGCAAAAGCAGTACAACAACGAAGAAGACCCCTCTCCGCCGAGAGGAGGGAATTTGTGAAGAAGGAGGTCGCCATGCTCCTCTCCATTAAGCACATCAAGGAGGTGAAATATCCCTCATGGCTAGCAAATGTAGTCCTCGCACAGAAGCCCCCTACCTTCCGCATGTGCGTGGACTACACCAATCTCAACAAGGCGTGCCCTATGGATCCATTCCCTCTGCCAAATATTGATCAACTGGTGGATGAGACCGCGGGGTGTGAGATCATGTCCTTCCTCGATGCCTTCCGAGGGTATCACCAAATTTTCATGCACGAGGAAGACGCCGAAAAAACTGCTTTCATGACTCCCGAGGGCATCTTCTGCTACCTAGTAATGGCCTTCGGCCTGAAGAACTCAGGGGCCACTTACACCCGGATGGTGGCCCGGGTCTTTCAAGCCGTCCTAGGGCGCACCATGGAGGCCTATGTCAACGACATGATCGTCAATAGCAAACAATCTTCCAGCCATGCTGACGACCTCCGGGAAATCTTCGCCATCATGAAAAAGTTCAACCTTCGGCTAAACCCGAAAAAGTGCACCTTCGGCGTCCAAGGGGGCAAGTTCTTGGGCTACATGGTGAGCCGAAGGGGTATTGAGGCCAATCCCGAGAAGATCCAGGCCATCATCAACATGGAGCCCCCACGCAATGTGAAGGAAGTTTAACGGTTTACGGGCCGCCTGGCAGCCCTCAACCGCTTTCTATCTAAATCAGCGGAGAAATCTCTACCCTTCTTCCAGATCATGAGGAAGACAGCTGGCTTTCTATGGACTCCGGAATTCCAGGGGGCTTTCGACGAACTCAAGCGATACCTATCTTCACCCCCTGTGCTCTCAAAACCAAAGGTAGGGGAGACCCTCTATCTCTACCTTGGGGTCAGCCCGGCGGCCATCAGCTCTGTGCTCATCCGGGAGGAAGACGGCATCCAACATGCCATCTTCTACGTTAGCAAGACCCTAAGGGAGGCCGAGCTTAGGTACTCTCCTGTGGAAAAAACGGTGTTAGCCATCGTTTGGACCGTAAAAAAGTTGGGCCACTACTTTCAGGCTCACCCGGTTCAGGTCCTCACTCATCAACCCCTCGGCGCTCTCATGAGGAGCCCCACCAGCTCCTCCCGTATGGTGAAATGGGCTATCTTCTTGAGCTAGTACAACATTGACATCCGTCCAAGGCCTGCCATCAAGGGCCAAGCCATGGCGGACTTTGTAACGGAATGTACCGCAAGGGCAGCCACGGACGGGGAGCCCTCGGCTACTTCGGACGACTGGGGGACCCTCTACACCGACGGCTCCTCCGCGACCAAAGCATGTGGGGGAGGGGTAGTCCTCATTACTCCCGAGGGCTTCAGAGCCTACTATGCAATCCGC